TTCTCGTTGCGCTACCGTTGTTAATAACGGAGAGATCTATATGATCAAGTGCGTTAATTAAATTATTGCCGGCTGCGTTGGAACAAGAGCTGCCCCATACAGGGTTTTGAGCGTTGAAATCCCCGCAAACTAAAATGTTATTTTGCCCTAGTGAATCTAGAAGAGACTTCCAAGCCAATGAAGACATGGAGCACTCAGGAGGCCTGTATAATGAAAAGACCCTAAGAGAAATTGAGATGGGACCATGTAAGATTTCGATACCACACATCTCGACTCCACCAGGTCTTGCCGAGGAAGTATCAATTGAGCGGAACGGAATCGATTTCCGGATAAGTATTGCTACTCCGCCACCAGCTCTTCCGTCCCCTCTGTCCTTCCTAATGATGTTGAAGTGCCTGATTTTAATTTGTTGCTCAGATCTCCACCAAGTCTCCGAGATACACAGAACGTGAGCATCCTTGGCAAGAATCTGAAGCTCAGACAAGGACGACCTCAAGCTGCGAGCATTCCACTGGATAATTTTTAGGTTCTCTTTTGGCGACATCGTAACAATCACTAGGTAAATATATATAACTGTAAATCTTATAAAAATTAGTTAATACTTTATCTAAATAGTAACTCATAGAATAAATAGTAACAACAATCTAGAACAGCCCAATAAATATAAACAGTGCGGCTGAAAAATCAACTATCTTTACGATGAAAATAAATAAATAATATAAATAGCTTAACAGGAAATGACAATTCTAGAAAAAATTTAACAATGCACAAAAATAACAAGACATTCACAGCCAGCCGCTAGGCCAAATTATATCCCGGGAGAATGGGTCAGATCTGTAAGGATTCTGAACATATGCTCCTTATAGAGGCTTCGCATATTGATCCTTCGTTCAACAAACCGATCAAACCCTCTTCGATATGGTTAATGATGGAGCCCACTTTTTTAATGACTTCCCGATTAATTAACTCTTTGAGGTTCACAATTTGGCTCATAGATAATGGGATAGCGGCAGTAGAATTTTGGCTAACTACAAGATTATTTTTTGAAGGCTGAGTAGATTGGGGATCGTCAGCAAATTCATGAACAGATACAGAATTACATTCCGAAGTCTCATCCACCACGGTCAGGCTATGG